GTATGAGATGAGAGCGCCTCGATTATTTCTACTTTTGTTGTGGTGGCTGCCTTCTCTGATTGTGGTATTTCGCGTCCCAATCTTTGATTGATTGGATAATTTCTCTTTCTGTTCTCTGGTCATCCGGGCCCACTCCTCCGGATTCGCTCTCCTGGGTCGAGCCACAGGGCAGCCGGGGGGTCCCATGAAAAACGGCCTTGCATTCGGGTCCATTTGGCAAATGGATCTCTGGTTCTGATTCGGTTCTGTCCTGGGTGGGAGTTGCCTCGGTTGAGAGCTCACTGATTGGCTCCCTTGCTGTTGGTGTGGAGGGGGCAGAGGGGATGGTATCTGACCTTTCAATCTGTTTCCGGCCTGCCGTCCTAATTTGTTTTTTGACTGCTTAAATTCCCTTGTACGATCCCATGCCTGCGCTTGTCAGATTTTTTCTGCAGGAGAGAGATTAGGCCACATCGCAGCCATCATTAATCCCCCGGGCAGATCAGCTAAAAGTTTTTCCTGCTGGACTTGGGAAAGCCCTGCGATTGTTCCCAAACACCCAGCTAATGTAACTTTTCCTGTACTGATTTCAGCGCTTAAAGCTTTCCTCCGTTGTTCACCAGAATCCTCACCAATCCCTCTGGGATAACTCTCCGCCAAGGACATCAGCGAGGCTCCTGGGGTTAAACGCAGATCGTTCTTTAACGCTATAACCTGAGAAATCTCTGGACTTGAAAGTTGTTCAATCGTCATACCTCGATCCTGAAGTCTTTGTACATATCCAGCGTCTGTCTCACCCGACGCTCTTTGTGGCAGGATGGTATGATCAAAATGTCCTAAGCTTACTCTTGACTGTTCCTGAGCAGTTTGCCAATATGGGGAATATTCCTGTTCTAGGATTCTCTCTTTAGGCATTGAATTAAGCTGTCCTCCCTGCGGAGTGCTTCGGTTTACATCCAAAGGTTGGGAGGGGCTGCACGGCGAGTAGCAGTGAGTTTTCACTGCCGAATCTCTAGCCATACATCCACCTCGATAAAAATCATATCCTTGGCCTAAATAAGCATGCTTAAAAGGTTGCCCCCATCCTGATTGTAACATGACTTCTTCCCTACTTTTTGCTGTTTGAATTGCCGAAGCCGTGAAGCCATCTACAGGGTACCAGTCTGGAAAAGGATTTTCTGCTTCTTCTCCTGCATAATTCTGGTCTCCCTCTGTGTTAATTGCAAACTGGCCTCGTCCTGGTTCTGGAACCGGTCTAACTAGGCCTATGTTAGGAGGTGCCTGAGGGTCATAATATTTCATCTGTACTGGACGGCTCTTTTTATTTAGTCCTCTAATGCCATAAACTATAGGATTTGTCTCATCTCCTTTTTCTGCTCTCTGGGGTTGCTGCTCTACATTTTCTCTGTTCTCATCTTGCTCATGGGCTGTAACTGGGGATAACCAACTCACTTTTTCAGGTGTTTTGCCTCCAGGGATCCGAGTGCTGCATTTTTGTTGGGATCCGCATTCTGACCTGAGCGTCCCTTTGGGTGTGCCACGCACCACCAGTTGGGAACCCTGTTCTTCCTCCGATTCAGCTTCACTCTCACTGCTTCTGTCTCTGGCCTCAAACCAATGTTTGACTTTCTTCTCTACTCGCGGCAAGGCTGACTAATCCACTAAAATTACGACCGGGATGTCTCCTAGCCTGCTAGAGGCTTCGGAATAAATCACCAAACCTGCACCATATGCTTCAGTTATCCGACACACCTGGGGTTTATTATTAAGCTTAAACACTAGCCGTCGTGCTCCTAAATCCAAGGCTTCTGACACCACCCGCTCCCAAGCTTGGTGAAAAGAGATGTCGGGATTATGAGGGTCTACGTTAATTATGGAAATCGCGCTGACACGACCTTCCAGATTCCCTAATTGCTTGTCTAAGAGAGTAGTAATTTCTCCAGCTTCGTAATTACGATCTACCAGCGGGATCATAGAGCTTCTGCTTTCTGCCCCTAAAAGTCTCCTCAGAGAACTTAAAGAGGACGTAGTACTGGCAGAACTTTGTGGATCTTTCAGAAAGATCAACACATCTTCCTCTCGGATCTCCTCATCTATTTTCTCGCTTGACAAAATTATCACCGGTTCTTGACCTATCGTAACATGATTCGGAGGAGCCGCGGGACTATGCGGTTCTAACGGGGGAAAAGGAATTGGGTTTGGAGTCCTTTCAGCCCCTGACCGTCTCTGGGTCTCGTCTTTCTCCCATGCAGCAACATGCTGTTCAGTGGGCGATCTCTCCGCTCCTCTCATGGGCACCTGAGAAGGGGTTTGTACATGTAGAAACGGGTTCCACTGCGCCGGCCGAACCGCGTCAGGCGGGTTCGGTGGGGGTGGAGGAAATCCGCTCTCGGAACCGGGGCTCACAGGGAATTCCCCGCGGAGCGCTGGATACAAAGGGGGCGCGGTCGGAACCGATTGGACTTCATCCCAGGAGGCCGACATTTCGACTGCAGCTCTTCTCCGATACATTTCCGCTTGGAGCTCCGTGATCCCCAGTCGGTTACATAACGCCTGTCTCATTTGAATTGCCTCATTTTTGCCTCTAGATAAGAAGTAAATTGTTCTACTATTAGTCTGTTGAACCACGAACTCTGCCATAGCAGAGTACATCGCTCCCTGATCACATCGGTACTGCCCGACTCCAAATGGAGTGAGAACTAAAGGTTCCGGTCCAGTTGGTATTTGCTCAAGCAATCCCAGAAGGATCTCATATTGCTCACCCGTGGGGAGTTTCGCTGGATTTTCCCAACAACACCACGCTATCTGATTAAAAACAGGATCATTTTGTCGTTCTGCTAGAATCACCAAATCACCCACTAACGGAAATACATGATTATTTTTTACTTGAGTTTCAGCATTCGGACAGCGCTCCGCTGCGGCTTGAGCTGTGCCGGCCTCGTTCTGAAAGCTCCGGTTACAGGATACTGCTAAAACGCTTTGTGGTTCACCTTGAAATGTCGCTATTTCTCCGGTGACAAATCTCACATTAAGGAGAACATTTTCCGGTTTTACCGTTAAAGATCTATCTGCCATGGCTGGTTGAAAGTTTCTCTTTTTTATTATTTATTTTATTTTTATTCGTTTTCACGTCTTATTCTTTATTCTTACTCTTTATTCCTTTTTATTTTTTTGCCTAGCTTTTATCCTTGGCTATTCTTACTTCGGAAAGCCGTGATTTCTTTATACCTCTTTGAGTTAATCGTCCGTTCTCCCAAATTTCTTTCCTTTTCGAGAAATTGGTGCGGTTTTCACTCCAAGGTTATAAGCTTATCCGGTCCATGGTGCGTAAGCTTTTAGAAGCCTAAAAGACATAGTTCTACGTCAGATAGTCCGGTATCTAATATTTGAACCTTCGCTCTGTAACCCCACGTTGGGCGCCATGTCGCGTGCCCGTCCCATTTACCGGTTCCTTTAAAACCCAGTTCCGTTAGAACTTATGAGACGGTGCATCCATCAGGGTTCGAGTGGGGGTGTCGGCGAGTATAATTGTACTAGACCCGGGTTTGGACCATCTAATTAGAATCTTGTCTTTTATTTTAAAGGTGAAATGACTTGTACGAATAGCCAGCTTCAGAGTTCTCCACTTCTTTTAAACTCGTTACCTTTTGGTTAAGATACTAGAGAGAAGTCTGGAGGCAAGCCAAGCCTCTCAGCAATTGTTTGGATTACCCGGAATTAATTGCGCCTCTAACAGCTTATGTGGGAGGTTGGTAACTATAAAATGATTTATGCTAGTTGATCAGGCTATCATAATTTTATCAATTTATTTATTAATCCAACCTTCCAGCTGATTAGAGACTTTTTCAACCTGCAATCAGAGCCAAAATAACCTCTAATATCCTGTTTTTATCGCCCTTAAGACAACTCGTTACTCGCAAGGAGGGGGAAGTTAAAACTTCCCTTATCTTAAGGTTTCTTTATATTATTCTATTATAAACTGTAAAGTAAGTCCTGATAATTCAGGGACCGATGATCGATATGCTTACCTCTGTGCAATTTATGGCCAGGGCTCCAAACGTGAAGCTTTAGAGAAAACCTGAAAGAATCAGGATTATGTTTCTTTTTCAAAAAAGGTTTATTACAAAATCAAAATACAAAAATGGGTAAATAAAAAACAACTGCTATCCCCCAAGGAGGAATTAGTTCAAAATGATTAAATAAGAGTTAGTTTACACTAGCTCCTGTCTTCTCAGAATCTCCCCAAAACTCTCCCAAGTCTCCTCTTCCAAGAGTCCTATCGCCCGATCTGAGCTGCATCCTTTTATATCATTCCTGAGACTGCTCTAAACAATGTAAGAGTCACAAGTTATCCTCTCCTGACAGTTTAGGTCAAGGGGTCATTTACCAAATACACTTTTTTAGCTCTACATAAGACATTTGGTATCATTTTCACTACATGCAGTATTCACATGAGGGCACAAAAGTTCATGTTGCACTCCTGGAAAGGGAGCACGGGCCATAAATCTTCATGTTGGTAGCAAATTGTAGATCTCCCTTCAGCATTCCTGAAAACTTCTGGGTCCAGATGGACTGTCCTCACTCCATTCCAGTCCTTCTTTTCCCGCCAGAGGTGGAGTTAGGGGCAGGATCATGGGTGTGTCCATGGGTGGATCCACAGAAGCCAGCCTGTCTTTTGACCCTTTGCCTAGTTCTGTCCTCACTAGCAAGTCCTGAACTATTGTCCTCTTGACCCTTGTGTGACCCTTGTCTCTGACCACTGTTTCTAAGCCTTGACCGGCTGCTCGGACTTGCAACACAGGTTTATCTTGCGGTTGAAGAACTCTAAGAACAGACTTGTGCGGATGCTGGTTGATCCCCATTTTAGTGCAGTGCGTTACCAGTCATCCATGTGGAGACACTGGTATGCATGTCTTTTATAATCTTTTGTATCGTTTTTTTATGTCTCTTTCTTAATGTGGACCTTGAGTCCAATAATAAAGTTGAATTGAACTGAAATGAATCATTCTGTCAATTTTCAGATTTTTCTGCAAGTGGCAGAGGAAACTGGTGTGGGCACTGACCCAGTTCAGCCTCCACAACCACCCTGCAGCGTGCAGCCTGCAGTGAAAAGAGCTGAAGGGCAGCCAGCGGAAGAGCCAGAGATGGGTATAAAGTCACACTCACAGACACTTGGTGTTCAGTTTGTCCTCCCATTTAACTGTTTTCTTCCAAAATGCTGCCAGGAAAGAAAAAACCTCAAAAGAAAGGTACATTTAGTTTACCAGAGCTTAGAAATCTTAATAAAATAGGGAAAGTGTTTTTCTCTGTGTCACCCACCATCCCTAGTGTATTCATCTTAATGTGCCACATGTTAACGGTTTAGGTTCTCACGCTGCCTTTCCTGTTGCAGATCCTCAGGAGACCGACCTGCTGAGTGGAGATGGTCAGGGTGGGGTGTCTCTGACAGGCTGGTGGCTAACGTGGCAGCAGCTCAAAGCTCTTTTCATCAAGCGCTGGCTTTACGCTCGACGGAGCCGCAGAGGAGTCTTTGCTCAGGTCAGAAGTCAATGTTACCAACTATGTGATAAATAGGGATGCACCAATACCAGTATCGTATCAGTACCGATACCGATTCCAGTCTTGGTATCGGTAAAAGTTAACCGATACCAGAAACCGAGACCAATGCAGCTGCCTGAAAGTGACTTCACTGTAACTTGTCATTTCTGTTCACCTAATTTTTTAGTTTTGTGATCATTTCTATTAATATATTTTAGCTTTTATCTACCTCACAGTTTTTTCCTGTTGAAAGCAGAGAAGGAAATAAACCTGTATTCCAATTCATTGCATTTTTTTGTGTGGTAGAATTATTGGTAATCGGTATCGGCAAGTACTCAGATCCAAGTATTGGTATCGCATCGGTTTGGGAAGATGTGGTATCGTTGCATCCCTAGTGATAAATGAAGTTTATTTTTCTATTTTCTTCCAGGTTAAAAGTCCTGGAAGCCATTTTGAATTATTTTGCAAGTACACTCATAGGGAAGGTTAACTTTTGTTTCAGATTGTTCTTCCAGCCGTGTTTGTTCTGGTCGCTCTGCTCTTCAGCCTCATCGTTCCTCCGTTTGGGAAGTACCCTGCCCTGGAGCTGCAGCCTTGGATGTACGGAGAACAGTTCACCTTCTTCAGGTTGGATTTCACCCAACTATTCCCTTTATTTTAGTCTTCAGTGATGATATTTAACGCTGTCGGTCAGAAGTTACGTTCCCGTTTTAATTTCAGAGATTATGAATATGCATTTTGAACTCTGTTTAATGATCACAGCAATGATGCCCCTGGGAACCCAGCCATGGAGAACCTGCTGGATGCTTTGTTGGACCGGCCTGGATTTGGTACAAAGTGTATGGAAAAGAAGGAGGACAACATCACGTAAAAGAACTTCTGTTCAGTTATTGTGTTTGTAGCTTCTTGTGAAACATAACGTCCAGACTTGGATTCTTGACTCAAGCATATTCATTTCTTTAGTTTCACAGATTTTTCATGCTTTTTGATCCGAGTGTTGTCACATAAGTTTTGTTGAAGTTCCAGCTAAGCTCTTAAATCACATTTCTGAACAGTTCCCAACTTGACATCGTCCTGTGTTAAATGTGATTAAGCCTAATATCAAACATCCTTCAAAACTGTGTGGTGATGAACCCAAAATGACCTTTACCCATGCAGGAGTCCTCAGTGTGAAGGTGAGCGAGGAGGTCAGTTCATGAGACCGCAGGTAGCTTTCTCCACCTGGAAGACGTTCAATAGAGGAAACTGGAGCAAAGACAGACCTTCACCTGAATGTCAGTGCAGCACGGAGGACCTTCGCCGGATGCTTCCCGAGTGTCCAGAAGGTGCTGGTGGACTTCCTCCTCCACAGGTCGGTTTGGTGTCAAACCAACCCCGATTTATTGTCTCTGCAGAATTTACAGAATCTGAATACTACGTGCAAAAAGACCCAACAGAAAACAGATCGGACTGATTAATTGTCAGAATATTTTCATGATGCAGCCTCGTGTTTCTGCACCGCTCTGGCCTCTGTTACCTTTAGATTTATTGAAGTTGTTCTTTGTCAGTTTAAGAGAGCTACAGGAGATATCCTCCAAAATCTGACGAGTTATAACATCACTGATTACCTGGTGAAGACCTACCCCCAAATCCTCAAGAAAAGGTACGTCTGACATGGTTTTGGTTTGTTTGACCAAATTCATTTCATTTTCTTCTGGTTTATTTAATCTGTTATTATTTTGGTCCTTTTTGTAACCACTGCTGACTTATTTTCTCGTCTGTCTTTATTAACACTATTACATTTTGTATTCATTAACTTTCTTTTTCCATCATTGATTAAAGCCTGAACATGAAACCATATTAATTTTTTTCTTCCAGTCTAAGATCCAAGAAGTGGGTGAATGAATTCAGGTAGGCGAGTGCATTTGAATTCAGATAAAAAGACGTGACACTGAACACATTTCCAGGTATCGTCATTTTTTTTCCTGTTTCAGGTATGGAGGCTTCTCCCTCGGTGGGAGCACCTCCCAGAATGCATCTCAGGTTGAACATCTCCAAGACTCCATCATGGTAATCCGGACTCGTTACCGAGTTGAAAAGGTACTGAACAGACTTCAGGTTTTTTATTCACAGACTTACATCAACCTTTAATGGTTACTCAAAGTTAAATGTTTTCTTTTTTGTTCTCAACAGAACAGTTCGCTTGATCGCCTGCTGGAAAAGCTGCCAGTGTTTCTGGGAGAGATGCACACGCAGAACAATGTCAAGGTAAATGTCCTTTCTGTTTATGTCTGTACGATTTATGTTTTCTGCTTCCTGGGTGACCGAGAACATAGCTTGAACGTAGCCTTCCATGTTTCCTGATCGCAGGTGTGGTACAACAACAAAGGCTGGCACGCCATGGTTTCGTTTCTAAACGTGATGAATAACGGGCTGCTGAGAGCGAGCCTGCCTCCAGGACCTGAGAGGAGGATACACGGCATCACGGCCTACAACCACCCGCTTAACCTTACGAAGGAGCAGCTTACAGAAATAGCCATGTTCGTTTGCTGCTTTTGATACTTTAGGATGTTTTTTATGGATTTACTTTCTGGAGGTTTTCACATAAATCCAAAGTTCTGAATTCAGTCTGATGGATCAGAAAGAGCTTTAAGTTAAATTAGCCTGTTTGAAAACAGTGGATGACGAATACACTTTGTTTCATTTGTGTTTTCTCCTGCTTCGTATTCCAGGATGGCCACATCGGTGGATGTTCTGGTTTCCATCTGTGTGATGTTCGCCATGTCCTTTGTGCCGGCCAGCTTTGTCCTGTTTCTCATCGAGGAGCGAGTCAGTAAAGCCAAACATCTGCAGTTTGTCAGCGGCGTCAAACCCGTCCTTTACTGGCTGGCCAACTTTGCCTGGGACATGGTCAGTATTAGTTCAACTCAGACGCCAGTCTCCAAACATAATTTCCTGTTTTAGTTAGTTGGATTTCTTCTATCATTGCAAGCAGGTTAATTATAAAGCAAACTGTTTGAAAAAGTTATCAATGTTTTAACTGTCATTTCTGCGGTTGGTAAAAGTTTTTACAAAGATTAAAATCGATATAAATATTTTCTGTTTTTTGTTCTTCTCAGCTGAACTACTCGGTCCCAGCCATGATGGTGGTGTTGATCTTCATCAGTTTTCAGCAGCAGGCGTACGTCTCTGAGACCAACTTGCCCGCTCTCATCCTGCTCCTCTTACTCTACGGGTACGTTAAAGCAGACAACAGTTCTTCAGGCTTTTTTTTTTTTTATCCATTTTAATTCTTGCACCAGATCATCATCTAAATAAATTTATATATTTTTTGTTTTTGTTAAACAATGCCTCTGAACATTAAAAACAATTCAACATTCATTGTTAATTTGCCTGAATTGCTCCTGGGCCCTCATATATCAATCGTACTTATCGACGATGGAACAATTTTACACACTGTGTGGTATTTTTTGTACTTGTCAATAGAAATGTTCCTAAATATAAGAACAGCTCTGACTAGGGTTGTCACGGTATGAAAATTTAACCTCACGGTTATTGTGACCAAAATTATCACGGTTTTCGGTATTATCGCGGTATTTTTTAAACGGTGTTGCATATGTTCAGAAAGCATTGATAGTCCTGTTCTACACAAACTGAAATAGTTCTGAAAAGGTTTAACAGTGTTTATTAAACCTAAAATAACACAAAGCCTTAGCAAAAGTGCAACTTTTCACAAGTAAAGGAACAAATAGCTTATTTTTCTGGAACATGTTACAGTAGTCAATGCAGGTTTAAATTATACAAATCCAAACATCCAAAACATAAACAATATGTAAACAAATCAAAGAAACACCACTTGTTTTCTCATATACTTGTTTTCTTCATTATCAAAATGAAAATCTAAAACTCCAGTCCACACTTGACTTGAGCACTGTACAAGTCAACCTTAAAAAAATATGTATTTAAAATAAATAGCCACTTTAAACAAATTACTAAAATAACTACTACACTATGTAATCAAATCCAAATGTTCAAGTATAAATGGCATTGAATAAGTAAACAAATCAATGACAAGGAACTAATTGTATATTTCTCTTCATCATCAACAAATAAGATGCTTCATCCAGCAACAGGGTGTCCGTGACACGGTTTAAATGCTGGCAGAGGACGCTGCGGCTGCAGTATATAGTGACTCGTTGCATTCTCCCTCAGCCAAAAGTCCTCACGTCATGCATTTAAGCTAAAATGCTAATGTTAACTTACCTTGCACTGGCTGTAGAGACGTGGGTGATGGTCACGCAGATGTGCCATTCGATTCGAAGTGTTGCTGCCTTTTGCAGACACTTGTTTCCTGCACGTTCTGCAAACGGGATAGCAGTCTTCTATTAACTGTCCCTCAGCATTTTTCAGAAATCCAAAATATGCCCATACTTCCGATTTAGTCTTCTTTGAGGGCTGATGGATGTCCTGGGCGCTGCCGTCTCCTCCTTCGGCCATTATTTCAGCTTCAAAGTTTTGGTGCCGTTGCAAACTAAAAAGTGCGTGTGCGCGCCGCGGGAACTTCAGCTGAAGCGACGGTGGCTGGTAAGGGTCACCGCGCCGAAACCGCGGCCACGGTAAACCCACCGAGATAATTTAGTTTTTTTTAAAACTGGACGGTTATTTTTATTGTCAACTTTTTTACCGGGGTTTACCGCTATACCGGTTACCGTGACAACCCTAGCTCTGACCGTGCACAGGGGCGCAGATAGGATTTGCAAACACACACACACACTCGTACGTACACATACACAAACCATTGCAAGCGCCTTAACTAGAGCTCAGTCAGTTTGTGTAATTTCATCCAACAGTTTATGAAAAAACTAACACTTTTATATACGTGTTTGAGGCCCTTGTGCAATGGAACGCTGGCAACAAAGCTCTGCCTGATCAACGCAATCCAAGTCAGTCATTTCTTATTCTCCCAATCAATTAACCAAAACCTCATGCTTTATGCGAAACATTAAATGATTTTCAGCATACCAATCTTTACAGAAAACATAAAAGCCCTAAAAAACTGCTTATAAAATATATTTAAAAACAATATTCACTTATAGGGTTGGCCATTGTTTGATTTTGAACTATTCCAATTCCTTGTTTCAATTCTGGTTCCTATCGATTCCCGATTCCGATTCTTTCAAGACATGACATGTTTTACACGAGCCAGCTAACCACAGGTCCTGCTTGAAGAAATAATCTTAACTTCAACATGAATTTTCATTCTATGAACAACAACATCACCTTCATTTAGACAAAAACATGATTTGGAGAAAAAAAGAATAAGACTTGCAGCACAACCAGTGTGTTTGTTTCTGACCACAACCAAAGTCTGGAAGAAGCCTCTGGGATGAGAGGCTAAATGTCTCCAACATATCCAGAAACGTCCAGCTGTTTTCAGCTAAAACTCTCATGATGATCATGTCCAGGATGACTGAGAGCTACACCTCCATGCTGCAGCAGCATTCAGTCAGAACAGAAAGTGAAACTTAAACATTAAAACTCTCAACAGAAATAGTTCAGAAAGGAAATTAAAATGTTTACAACATTGTGTGTGATTTATTATTATTATAATTATTTATTGTGGCAGAAGTTGGTGTGGTCCACCACAGAGAAGCTGCTCTAGCATGATGACTTTAATTATTCTACAGGTTATTGTTCAACCTTCTGACACACACACACACACATACAGACACATACAAAGACGAGTGTTGGTGAGCGGCTGCGTCTGACTGCTGACGCTCCGTTTGTGTTTTTATTTCTGCAGTGAGACAAACTCACCTCACACCGTCCAGAGTTTGTTCTTTAAAGCTTCTATTAAATCCACCGTGTTGACGTATTTAACAAGTTTCCTCTACGCTGCAGGAGTTAAAGTTACATGACGGAGTAAAAGTTCGCCAGACGCGTTCGTTTATATCTGGGTGAGGGGAGGGGTGACTCGGTGCTGCACACAGACATCTGGTGTGATCAGCTCTGAAAAACTTTGATCACAATTTGCAGATCACGTTTATTTTTCATGGAGATCGGCCTCTTCCGTCGGCATTCTAGGAATCGAAACTAGGAATGAAATAAAAAACTTTGAAAGATTCCAGGAAAAACTAACAGTTGGAACCGGTTCCAATCGAAACTTTTCAGCCTCTGACCAATAGATGTTCCTTCGTATTGTTACGTTATTTAGAAATTTTCATTATATTTGGAAAGTTTTAATTTATACATATATAAATGAAGCTCTTTTTAAGTTTTATATTTTACCTTTTTTATGATTATGTGGCACACTTTGACTTCCACACATAACGCATCGGGATCTGCCTCTTTTTTACGACTTTTTTTACATTGTCGCTACGTCTGTCACATTTGCGGTGTTTTTACCATCATTTCCAAATCCATCACGTCCCAAAGAAGGTTAAAACAAACAAGCAAACCCAACGTTTGGAGCTTGTAAGCTCCACACACCTCTAGTGTAGTACCAGCTGTCTGATGCTGCAGCAGCATCCATCTTCCTGGCTGGATGAGTGAATTTCTTCGTCAGAGTCAATATTCTGCTTCATAATCAGAGTCAGTCACGACCAGACAAAGTGATCAGTCAACAAAGACCAGACCTGCCGGCAATTATATGTTTTATCTAATATTTGCCCTCTTCATGCTGCGTGCATCTCCTCCTCTCCCCGACTGGGAGCCTCTCAGCGGTCAACGGGCAATCAGGCGGGGTACACCTGGGACAGAGAGCCAGTCCATCGCAGGGCAACACAGAGACACACAGGACAATCATGCACACACACACACCTAGGGACAATTTAGACAGACCAATCAACCTAACAGTCATGTTTTTGGACAGTGGGAGGAAGCCGGAGTACCCGGAGAGAACCCACACATGTACAGGGAGAACATGCAAACTCCATGCAGAAAGATCCCAGGCCGGGAAGCGAATCCAGGACCTTCTTGCTGCAAGGCTACAGCTCTAACCACTGCGCAGCCGTGTTCCTTATCCACAAATTATTTTACCTAATTAATTATGTCTGTGCGGAAACAGCTTTATCACATAACTGGTGTCAGATCCTATAAAAGACACCTGTGACCGACAGGAGTCTGACGTTGTAGCATGGCTGATCTCGTGTTATTGGAGGATTTGGCAGAGTGTGCACCCCGGAGGGAACACGTCTTCAGTGAGCACACTGAGCTGCTTGGTGAGAATCCAGAGTAGCCCCTGAGCAGATACTGCTTCCTGAAGGAGATCCTTCTGGAGTTATGTCCAACTTGAGATAGCAGACCAATCAGGCGTCTCACAGCCATCGCTGAGCTACTTTATGAGAACTATGGAGTTTTAAGGGTGAAGAATCGGGCAGTTTGTTTGCTTTCTTTATTTATTCTCCACTTCAACAACAACAACTTCTCAGTGTCAAAAAAAACCTGGGATATTCTTCACAAGGATTCTCCAGAACCTCCTCCCTTCCTGCACCTGTAACACACCAAGAACAGTAGAATACATGGACACACTCTCTGCACTGTCACACATAGGTTTCTAAAGAGTTGAACTGATGCCCGATGGATGGTTCCCTCCACCGCCATCTTGGCCACATCATGCATTTCATCCCTCCCTGGAAATACAAAAATGGAGACGAGAGTGGGACTGAGGGTGGGGGAGTCGATGTAGCTACTAGCTAACTAAGCTAACCAAGGCTAATAAAGTGACTCTGCAACCCTCTGCCTTCTAGGCTGTAACACTTGTAACGTGAGGCTGAGGTCTTCCCTGGAACAAGCAGGGGGGCTAGCTGCTAGCGTTGACAGCTCATATTTAGTTCAGTTAATCTTCTGCATCTTTGCCTCAGTTTTTTGCTCTCACTGAAGTTTTTTTTTTTTTTTTTTTTTTTTTGCTGTTTTGTTTTTGGGAAGAATGCAGGGATTTCCTGCATGAGCTTTAAATGATGTAGTGTGACCAAATGTGGTTAGTTGAGGGTGTTTCTGTATGCAAATGACTGAGTACGCACTTGTGGGATCTATCAGCATTCGACTGCGGAGGAACATGTGTACGAGTGGCCACCACGTGTTTCATAAATCAGCATTTTGGTCATGCGTACAAACGTTCTAAATTTCATTAGTAAGATGGAGTATAAGACAGTTTCTATGTCTGTTTCCGATAAACAGCAGCCCTGAAAGTCTTAAACATAGATTATTTTTGCACACTGATTATTTAATGTCATACTAAATAACAAACATTTTATCTTTGATGGACTTTTAGTGTCCAAAACTCACCAAATCAGTGCTCACCTCTAACAGAAAGGATATTTTATTCCTTGTAGGTGGTCGATAACTCCTCTGATGTACCCAGCATCCTTTGTCTTCTCCGTCCCGAGCACGGCTTACGTTGTGCTGACCTCCATCAACCTTTTCATCGGCATCAATGGAAGCATGGCCACCTTTGTCCTGGAGCTGTTCGTAGATGAGGTACAAACATTTTATTTTCTTCATTTATTTCATTCAAAATAAAAACAAATTAAACATATAAACAATGAGAAAAACATAACAAAAAATTAAATTTGAACGAAAAGGAGCAGAATGAAGAAAACATCTTATAATTTCTGCCCCCTTTTTCCAGTAGAAATAATCCATTTATATATAATTATCATTTGTCACACACATACAGATTCATTTTAAACTTTTTCCTGTTCTAAATTCCAGTGCGATCATGATCATTGATTTAATTTAGATTTTCGTAATTATTTAGAACACTCAATTTGGTACTTTTTTGAATATATTAAATGACAGAGTTTTTTTAATTTCCCTTTTAAGGTTATTCCGTAATTTAACACCATTTACAGATATATTCCACTCCTTAATTTTAGTTCTAAATCTAGGTTTTGTAAACACATCAGTTTCTTTCAGCATGTAATTACTAGTTCTCTTTTCAAATATCCCCTGAATGTTTGTTGGCAGAGTACCTAAACTGGCTTTATACATGGTTTGTATGATTTTCCAGTCTATTAAATCATGAAATTTCAGTAATTTATATTTAATAAACAATGGGTTCGATGGATCTCTACAGCCACTATAATTGATGATTCTCAGAGCTCTTTTCTGTAAAATAAATAAGGGTTGTGTATAGTTTTTGTATGTTGCTCCCCAGATTTCTACACAATAAGTCAAGTATGGAACAATCAGTGAATTGTACAATGCCAACAAACCAGAATTAGTCAGTAAAAACTTGACTCTATGTAATACTCCTAAGGATTTGGCAATTTTACCTTTTATGTAACTAATATGGGATTTCCATGTCAAGTCTTCATCAATAAGATCTCCAAGAAATTTAGTTTCTTTTACTCTTTGAATTGCAATCCCATCTATTTCCAATGACACATCACTATTATTTTTATCATTAAACAGTATAACATTTGTTTTATTAAGATTCAGTGTCAATCTATTTATATCAAACCAGTTTTTAATTTTAATCAGTTCATCATTCATCACTTTAGCCACCTCCTCAATATTTGATCCTGAGTAAAACAGTGTTGTATCATCTGCAAATAGAATGGTACTGAGTGTCTTAGATACATTTACCAAGTCGTTAATAAACAGAATGAACAGTTTTGGTCCGAGGACCGTCCCTTGTGGCACTCCACAATTAATGTCACATAGTTTTGATTTATGGTCCTTTATCTGAACAAACTGTTTCCATTTTTCGAAATAAGTTTTAACCCATTAATGAGCCACACCTCTTATTCCATACTGACTTAATTTTCGAAATAACCTTGAGTGATCAATGACGTCAAAAGCTTTTTTCAAATCAATGAAAACACTAACAAAGTGATTTTTATTGCCAATTGCTGTTGATATTTTATCCGTTAATTCCATTATTGCCATTGCTGTGGAATGTTTAGTTCTAAACCCATATTGTTCATTGTTTAAAATATTATTTTTTTTCAATGAATTTATCCAACCTTGATACAAATGAACTTGATACAATTTGAACTTTTACTGACGTGCTGACAATGATTCCTGAACTCTTCTGTGCAGAAACATGGCTGCATTCATTCCTGCTTTTACTCAATTTTGTGGATGATTTTGTTTCAACAGCATCTGAACGAGATCAACAGAATCTTGAAGAAAGTGTTTTTGATTTTTCCACATTTCTGCTTGGGACGGGGGCTCATCGACATGGCTAAAAACCAGGCGCTGGCTGACGCCTTCCAGAGGCTGGGTATGATTAAACTGGATATAACTGTCAGGATCTTTCTTAGTGAGCTGAATGATGGCACATCAGCTGTTGTCTGTGTTTTATGATGTCTCTGTGTCCCGCTGCAGGAGCCAAGCCAAACCTTGACCCTTTTCAGTGGGACTTTGTGGGGAAAAATTTGTTTGCAATGGCAGCCCAGGGTGTAATCTTCTTTGTTTTCACCGTGCTCCTTCAGTACAAGTTTTTTATTTACTTCAGGTAAGTGAATCTCTCTTATTTCCTGGTTTGGTATTGTTTCCTGTCCTCGTGTTGTTCAGTTCCCACATAGGTGCTGTGTGGGAGAGCGAGTCACAAATGAATGAAAATGATAATTATCCCAAAATAATTACAATTTTCATTCTTTTGCTTTATTTTTTGGAACACAGTGATCGTGAAGTTTAACGTTCCTCAAAACAGATGAGACTCAAGTAGCTTGTTCATGGGCATAAACCAAGTAAAAAGGTTTTATCTTACAATATTCCATCATTCAAATTAGATTGTTTCTTTTTGTTCAGGCCGTGGTGGAGTGTCCCCCAGCTGCCTCCTCTGGGCACTGAGGATGAGGATGTTGCCAGGGAACGAGAGAGGGTGAAAAGTGGGAAAGCTCAGTCGGACATTCTCACCATGATAGACCTGAGCAAGGTTGGGACACAAACATGGACGAAACGGTCTTAAAGATGACACTTATGCTGTCAAAACACCTGTTACACAACAAAAACACACTTGTGGTGTTGACTGCATCTACATTAGTGGCAACAACCATGTTGCTATAGCAACACCTTCATGCACTTATCTTATGTACTCAAGCACGTGGTGATAGAAGGATTGACCTCAACCTAAACACAACATCCTCACAGATGTTCATGATTGTTGTAAAATATCAGTATTGTAAATATTCTTTCTTTCTGTTGTTCAGGTTTACAAATCAGGCCGGAAGCCAGCAGTGAATCGACTTTGCCTCGGGATTCCTCACAGTGAGGTGAGAGATTTATTCCCAGACTCGCTGGATGATATGATCACACAGAAGTCCTGTATTTCTAGGATTTGCGTTGGTGAAACCTTTTTGACTTCACAACACATTTGAAGTATGAACATATCAACACTGTGTTGACTTGGGTCTGCTCTCCAGTGTTTCGGGTTGCTGGGGGTGAACGGAGCCGGGAAAACCTCGACATTCCGCATGCTGACTGGAGATACGCCGATCACATACGGAAAGGCTTTCCTGAGCCATCACAGGTGCTTCTCCACCTCTGCACTGACTCAAATCCTGCTAGATTGTTCTCCACTAACTCAGCTGTGTGTGTGTTTCTCAGCGTGCTGACTGAGATGGAGCAAGTCCACCAGCTGATGGGTTACTGTCCACAGTTTGATGCCATCAGTGACCTGCTGACGGGGCGGGAACATCTGGAGCTGTATGCTCGTCTGAGGGGGGTTCCAGAGGAGGCTGTCACCAAGGTAACTAAATCTTAAGGGGTTCTTTTACTTTATTTTTGATACATGTGCAGTGGTCTCTAGTAGGAATGAGCGCTGTGTGTGCCATACTCTTAAGAAAAAAGCTCCAGTGTGCTTGTTTCAGCACAGAGAATTCAGCCAGAGGAGAAAGTAGCTTCAGATTTGAACAGGATTTGGAGTCTAACTTCTGACATTTGGACATCTCGCCTCTAATGGAATAACAGCAACACGACTCTTCCACTGTCTCTGATTGATTTGCAACGTTGATGTTTTATCTTCACAAATAAAACCAGCCTGAAGGCGTTCTGCTGTGTGATGGGGTTGCTAATGCTAACGGTTAGCTTCTGCTAGTCGAGACGTTTCCTAGGGTGTTTCCTGAACGTTAAAACAACAGCCTTTCCCGTCGCGACTCAATATGACTTAGTCCAATTGACAGCGTGACATAGCTCTGTGGCTGATCATTTTCAAAAATAGATGGTTTCTCGGTTAAGGACCTCTTTATGGAAGACAGCTGAAGCTAGAGTCATAAAAGAGTGCAATCCTTCTTTAATTATTCAGACACATTTTTGAGCTAGTATTTGTAGGAACTGAGATAATAAGTTTGAAGGAGATTTTTCTTTTCAGAGGACATTATCAGACTTCCACGAGTGGTGAAGTTTCCGTTCTGCTCTGTAGGTGGCGCAGTGGGGGGTTAAGAAGCTGGGCCTGACCCAGTACTCAGAGCAGGAAGCTGGAGGCTACAGCGGCGGCAACAAGAGGAAACTCTCCACAGCTATCTCCTTCATTGGGGCTCCGTCTGTTATTTTCCTGGTGAGAGCTTTACATTTCACTCAGAATGATTTCCTTAAACAACTTAAAGACGACCTGCATTCATGGATTCTTTCCTTTTTTCCATATCAGGATGAGCCAACCAGTGGTATGGACCCCAAAGCCAAAAGGTTTTTGTGGAACTGCATCGTCAACGTCACTAAAGAGGGTCGAGCTGTCGTGCTCACCTCCCACAGGTGCGAAACGAAGACATTTAGAGTTTAAATGTTCTTAGAGAGATCTAAGCCATAACGATGATATTTTCTGTGTGACCAGTATGGAGGAGTGTGAGGCTCTTTGCACCAGGATGGCCATAATGGTCAACGGCAGGTTTCAGTGTCTGGGATCTGTGCAACACCTGAAAAACAGGTAACAACACACACACACACACAAGTTCACAATGCCATTTTGACCGTGTCACAGGTTCCGTCAAACCTAGACAATTCCAAAAAAGGGAAAAGAGGTGGAGCTGAGGGTGGGGCTGTAAGGCTGGGATCAAATGACGACACCCGTTGAAGCGATGTAGCTACAAGCTAACGCGGAGGTGGGAGCTAAGCTAACGGAGGTAGCTACCTAGCTACAACCGGAGTTAGTTGTGCACAACACCGGAGCTTCTGAGTCAGAGATGCGCCGAGCTGCCGCTGAGGGGAGAGAGACCATACCGATAGTCGGAACCGAGCTCCACCTACATGTTATATTAAATGCACTGGGTTTTACCATATTACATTTAAATGTCATGGTTAAACAGTACAAGTTAAAATCTAAGCTCAGCTAGTGCAAGAGCGGCAGTGACCTAAAATACAAAAATACAATTTTACTTACTGATAAAATGAAGTAGAGACTCCTTGGATGCTCTATTAGTGCAATTAATACCACAGCAAGTCATTTTGTCCAACAATTGCACAAATAATATCCAAAAAAAGAATACACAAACGCTGCAACTAATGGTCCAAGTTGAGAGACTGAAAATGGTGGAACAGTTTTCAGGCGAGGCCGAGGCTCAGGCTGAGGCCTTTCCCCGGACCTAGCTCTGTGGTCACGTGGGTCTGATGCTCATTAATTATTCAGACTTTTAGGTATTTAATACACTTAAACAGAAGAGTGACAAAAAATTCACCCCCCTCAGAGTTCTCATGAGTGTAAACTAGATCTATTAAACCTAAAACACGTGTTGGTACCAGGTACCATGCTGTAAACATGTTTATTTCTGCTGTGAAATTGGTATTTTTAACATGGGAGTCAATGAGGATTTGCTCACTTCTGACACCAGCCCCTAGTGGATGAGGGTGGAACTGCAATTTTTGTTACTTCCTGTTTGACTTCATTTCTAGACCCGAATTATGGGGGCTTGGTCATTATAAGTCTCCTGAACTGTTATGTGTTTAAGTAATAAATGTGTTTTTGTGTTGTTCAGGTTTGGTGATGGATACACCATCATCCTCCGTCTGTCAGAAACTAAAGCTGACCCTGACGATTGTCCTGTTGATGCCTATATGAGGACGTCTTTCCCCAGCATCGAGTTGAAGGAGAAACACCAGAGCATACTTCAGTACCAGCTGTCCTCGCACGCCTGCTGCCTCGCTCACATCTTCGATGCGCTGGCCAACAACTACGAGGAACTCGGCATCGTAGACTTCTCTGTCTCACAGACCACTCTGGACCAGGTGAGAGGGAGGAGGCTGTGGGGGGATATCTGAGAGACGTGATGTTAATGTTTACTGAATATCAGTAACTGATTCAGAGAGAAGATAAGTGAAAACAGTAAACTGAAAAAATTAATCATTTTATTTTTGTAGGTATTCGTGAGCTTTGCTAAGGAGCAGACGGATGACGACTGCCTCGCAGATGTGGTCATAAATAACGGGGCGGCACAAGACCGCTTCATCGCCAGAGTTAACTCTCTCACCATCGCGCCGCAGCCACCGATCACACCTCCCCAAAAGAGGATGTCTCCTCGGCTTCCCGCTAAATCACCTGACAATCTCCCAAAAGTAACTAAACCTAAAAAGGCCAAAGTCGGCAAGGCCAGTTCCAGTGACGACAAAAGCGGCGGCGCGCCTTTGAAGAGGTTACCTCAGGCCGAGGAGAACAGCAGCACTCAGAGTGAATCCAGTCAACCTCACAGCTCGAAACACAAAGAGAAGAGCTCCAACAAAGATCCTTCTGCGCTGTTCATAGTCGGCACCAGTTCACGGGAAAGCTCGCTGTGAAAGGTTAAAGGGCGCGATGCCACACAAGAGGACCAAACTCAGATATGTTCATTCGAATGCTGCAAACTTGTGCAACATGACACAAACCAAATCAGCAAAACAAGGAACTAAAGTCGAATCAAAGCTAATCCTTCATCCTGTTGGCGGCTGTGCCTTGTTCACCACTTCACCGGCGGTGTTGAATCATAAATGTGACAGAATCAGTCTCGTCTTCTCAGAGCAGTGGCTTATTTATCCTAAACGGTTATTACCGCATGCATGCCTCGGTGTGAAAACACAGCGTTGTGTTTCTCAGGACCTTTTGATCTTTTTCAGTCTTACTCTGCTCGTCGGCGCACTTTACAGAAAAGCTGCTGCAAATACTAAAACAGTAGCTGGTTGCATGTGCAACGTGTTCTCATTAAGAGGATCTTACCTGAAGCGTCTGATGGTTATAAACCTGTTTGCTGTATCTCTTTAATGTTATATTGTTTTTAAGTCCAATATTTATTCATATTTTTATTTATTCTGTGAGATTTCTAGTTGTTGTTTCTGTACAATTGAAGGAATTATGTACAAGACGAGTTCTTCTTTTTATCTTGGAAGTTATCCTCCAAACTTGCTGAATGTCAGAAGTTTCCGTCTCTTACAGCTGGACTTCCTGTTGTCCTGAAAAAGCTCCAGACTCGGCGTTGATTTAACTGCTGTAAGTGATTTTTATGCCAAACTCTTATAAATCCAATCAAAGAAAAATATTTTTGAACAATCTAAAATGGAAATGCATTGTCTTTGAAGGAATGTTGTTTTTAAGATGTAGTTGTTTATTTGTTTTGAACCAAACAACCCAGATCAGCTGATCTAAAACAGGCTGCTACTGCACTGAAATGCACCGTTCTAGCTTTCAGTGTTTGCTGCTGTGGCGACCAAAGCAACAACGATGCAGGACTTTTATCTTAAAATGTGAATGCACTTGTTAAACATTAATTGAGGAGTGATCAGGTTGAATGTCTGTCTGGGCTGACAGCTCTCACTCCAGTGTTAATGTCAACTACATCTAGTAGAGTGATGAAATATCTAAGTGTACTGAAATGATGCAAAACCTAAAGGTTAGGTTAGGTCAATTATCGTCTTGTTTTGCAGTAAAAGTCTTCAATCCTGAATGTGGACCACCACATGAACATCATTTAAATAAATGAAATTTAAAACAATGTTTTTGTCATGAAAAGAAAAAAATAATTCTTTTTCCAGTGTTTTCTTTTGCAGTGGCTATTATTGTGTTTTGTGTGTTGTTTTTTGTTATTCTTTAGTCTCTGAGAGGCGGAAAGCTCTTTATTTGTTCACTCTACAGCCAAAGCAAGCTCATATTTCTGTTGCTGTTTTTGTTGAAACTTTACAAAGCAAAATAATCTTCTGTTGCTCCTGAAGACTACTTTCAGCTCCTAAATGTAAATAAAACCTAATTAAATTCAGGCATAGTCGTTTTTGTTTCGGCAAACGTCATCAAAGAGGGTCAATTTACCAAAAACATCAAATGTTTCTCTGTATAAGATGCCTTCCTACGATCGACGGACCTAGTACAACGTAAGTCACGTTAAAATACAGTAATTTTGAAAAGAATATTGTTTGTCAGGAATCTTGGCGTGACCTTTGACCCAGCTCTCACCCTGGATTCTCATGTCAGTTCTCTTGTTCGCTCTTCCTTCTTCCATCTCAGGAACATTGCTGAGTCCCATTCTGTCCCGCTCTGAACTTGAGACAGTTCTCCACACCTTCATCTCCTCACGCTTAGACTACTGTAACTCTCTTTTCACGTTTCTGATTAGAACCTCCCTGAACCGTCTACAGGTGGTTCAGAATGCCTGTGCTCGGCTTCTGACCAAGTTCTCCAAACACACCCACATCACCCCGCTTCTCCTCCAGCTTCACTGGCTACCAGTCAACTTCAGGGTTCATTTCAAGATCCTGGTTCTGGTCTATAGGGCCCTACATGGACAAGCACCATCTTACATTGGTGATCTTCTCAGTCCCTACACCCCCAGCAGGTCCCTGAGGTCCAGTGATCAAAGTCTACTGGTTGTGCAGCACCAGGCTAAAGACCACAGGTGACAGATCATTTGCTGTTGTGGCTCCCAGACTCTGGAACTCTTTCCCCCTGAGCCTGAGATCAGTGGACTCAGTGGTCTCCTTTAAAACGAAGCTGAAAACACACCTGTTCAAGCTGATTTTGGTGTGACCTTCATCACCATCCTCTTCTTATTGTGCCTTTCCCAGGATCCACTGACTTCCCTCTTTCCTATTAATTTTATCTCTCCCTTTCCTTACATTTTTTAAGCACAATTTTTTTTCTTCTCATTTTAAACATATTCTTAATCGCTTATTGAAATCTTTTTTTTATTGTGGCAAGGTGGAGAAACGAGGGCCCAGACGGGATTCGATCCCCAGACTACGTGTCTCGCGCGCTAACCAGTCGGCCAAAGGGACACCCCCTTGGTCAAGTAGCCAGGGCGGGCGCATGATCAATCGGGACACACTGTTAAATTATACTTTAATCTTTTTGTATTTGTGAAGCGCCTCGTGATTATTATCTTGAGCTGCACTGTATAAAAGATCGATTTCTTTCTAACGAAGGTGATGAACGCTTATAAGGATGAAAGTACAAAGCAGTGATATATCTTGTGTTGGTTTAATCTTTGACTAGTCTTTAGAGAGCTGTTGTCCTCTGGCGGCAATTTAGTGATACTACAGAACAATTGAAAAAAAAAACGGACTGGTGTGACGAAAGAACACCCAACCAAAGTGCAAAATTAAAATTTACATAGTAAAAACTCCAACCCAAAGTTTACTTCCGTTTTTGTGATATTCTTTACAATTTAAATTTTATTTTTAATTTTGATATTATGAGAGCCTCTAGATAAAAAGTCACTTCGTCTTCTTCTTCTCCGGACACGTCTATGCTTCTTCTTCCCCAATTAGTTTACCATGTGTGCTGAAAAACTGCCTCGGCCAGTCTACTACCTTGATACCGGTTTGAAATAACAATTTTTAAGCTATTGCGTTTGAATGTATTCTATGTTTTTGTCATGTGAGTTTTAATTTAATTTAACTTGTATAAATAGTTTCGTGTGCTGGTTTTAACAAGAGCTGGTGTGATCAGAAGGAAGATTGCAATTAAAGTAAAGTCACAAAATAGCCACAAGAGGGCGATAGTAGTTCGACGTCAATATAAGACAAAGATCTAATGATACAAGAAAAATCTCTGCTTTGCACTTTTACGTTTGCTTTGCTTAATATGCTTCAACTAGCTAGACTCAAATGTCTCATACTTTAGTTTAACTTTTTTATTTTTTAAACAACAATCGTGTAGCTATATTTCATTCCAAGAGTTCTGTTGGACTAAAGTTTGTCCTAAAAGAGGAAATTAAGGTTTGTCCGTATAATAGTCTTTACTATGAAACGACATGGAGGGAACACTCTTGTCTTTTTCACACATCTTCGTCGGAAGATATTTTTGCTCGTTTCATAAACTAGAAGCTAGCTTGCACTTCTGATGTTTTGACTTTTGTATTTGTGCCTACACTCTGTCTTTTTGTCATACTTTTCGCGCAGCTTTTCAATTTCGTCTTTGAAAAAAAATGGTTGTTTTGACAAACGCTGATGAACAACAGGATTATATGTGAGTGCCAATTTCTATTTTTGCGTGAGCCAGTTATTTGATAGCATTAGCCCAAAGTGCTTTATCTATCTAACCTTAACCCTACATCCATATTTATTTAATGTCATTTAATTGATTGAGACACCGCAGGTTGCATGATCATTAACCAAACACCACATGCGTTCAAGTGGCGGGTTTGGTAGTTCAGATTTAGACGTTTCAAAACCAGTTAAGTGCCTGTTAGCTCTTAGCCGCTAACTAGCTAGTTTATTTGTCCTTGATTTTTTTTTATCCATCCATCAAAATCCAATTATTGTTCATTTAACAATAGAGTCGCACTTCGTTGTAATTCTGAACGTGTCTGTGAACTAAATCACATATTTCACATCCCGGAAGAGAAAAATAAACAAAGGAGGGCGTATTATTTATAAAATGTGCTTTAAAGCGTTAATGTTCGTTTTCTTAACTGTTTAACCTACAAAGGTTTCAGTGTCAGGACGATCCTAACACTCCCCGCTGGAGACTGGTTTATGTTGCTGATAACGTGGAGCGAAGTCTAAAAACAGGATCAGCTGGTTAAAGTTAGCATCAGTCCCAGCGTAGGATGCTCCACACCCACTGACCTACATCTGAAACTGCTGCAGGATGCTCAGTTTTCCCTGTCTTGATTCACTTACCGGTAAACACAGCTGAGATCAACGAGAAGCAGCACAGAAAGATGAGGAAAATATTTCTGCTGGTTTTTATTTGTCAGCTTTAGGGCTGCACAAAATATCGCAAATACATCGTCATCGCGATATCGGCATGCTCAATATGCATATTGCACAGAACAGATAAATATCGCAATGAATGGTCAGCTCAAATGTTTGCTACACATAATGCATTCTGTCAATCTCATAGGTCAGATGCCTGCCCCCGAGGCAGACGGCACTTTATTTTGATGATTAGCAAACACCTGCGTTAGCTTAGTTCTGCTCTTTCTGCTGATTCTTCTTTTCCCGGGATCCACTGATCGCCTTTTCTTGTTCCTTTCCTCACATATTTTGCTTTTCTCATTTTTATGATTTTTTTATTTCCTTGTTTTTGATTATTTTTTTCCTGAGTTAAGTTTTTATTTATCGCAAGTAGTATCGTCATCGCAATATTAATCATTGTTATCGCATATCGCAGGTTTTCGCAATATCGTGCAGCCCTAGTCAGCTTCCTTCTGTTTATTCAGTCAGTGCCATCATGCAAACTTGGTGTGTTGTAATGAAGAGGTAGGAAGAAAGTCAACTGCTGTTGATAAAAGCAAGAACTAAAGAGACGGGCTTCTGCACAATATTCCTGTGGGTTTAGCGTCACTGATAGATGCCTGGTACTTTTACTACATTTCTCTAAGAAGAGTCTGCAGCCATCACACAAAGATGTGTCTCCTTTGGGGTTGCTCGGTTTACACGAGTCTAAAAAAGTTCATAGGATCCAGCAATTTTGAGGAAAATCTGTTAAGCAAAATATTATTAACCAGTTGTTTTTGATGAAGCAGTGTTTACAGCCTCGTGGTTTTTATCTTGAGAGGCTCTATAGAAAAGATATTTTCTTCTTTTCTTCTTCTACAGAAAAGAGGTCAAGAGTGAATAAACCAGAAAGACCTAGTTGAATTAGAGATCCTTGTATTTTAGTGTTTTTTTTGTGTTTGTCCAGCCTGATAGAGGAGCGTAAATGCTCCTCACTGCCCTGCTCTCCAGCTAAGCGAGTGTCTCCTGCCAAAAAGAAGCAATTTTACATCAATCAAGCCATCCGTAACTCTGACCTCACTCCTCGTGCCAAAGGCAAGAAGAGCCTTCGCCGACAGGAAAACAGTACGTTTATTACTCTCAGGTTAAAAGTGTCTGTTTTAGGCTGGAAAACAGAAAAGTTCAGAAACGTGATTTTAAAGCCTTTTGAAGCTCCCGGCTTTAAGGAGTCATTTCACTTGTCTGATTCTGTTCCTCTACTCTCAGCACGCTATCTCACCAATCTCCTTGAGAAAGATGAATGCTCCAAAGATGACCTGGAGGTCCGCAGTAACCCGGCCATTCCGTCCATCTTCACCGAAGCCTGCACTAACGGAAGCTACATAGAGGTGCGTGTCTGAGACGCACTTTAGCGGCAGCTCGGTGTGTGTCTAGTGAGTTAACTAATTCCGAGGATGTGTTGTGTTATGACATCATCTGGGCGTCGTCGTAGTCGTGGAACGACTTCATGAATTGCTCTGGTGAGGAGCAGGAGAGGCTGCTGTCTCTGCTGGAGCAGGAGGAGGCCAAGAGGAAAAACTACAACAGCCAGCTCCTCAAAGACCAGAGGAACAGTGAGTTTAACTGTTTGTTTGTTTGTTTGTTTGTTTGACACATGGCTGTTTGGCTGACTAACGCTCATCTTTCCACAGTCTACCCTGCCTTTACCGCTCAGGACTGCTACTTAAGGATTGATCGCAGACTCCGAGTGACTCTGAGGAGGAAACAAATACCCATGGTGGGTGTGGTCTCCTCATTGCTTCTTTAAAAGTAGATTTTTTTTATTGTCTAAGAAGCTTGACTGAAAGAATTCAGCTTTTTAAATCTTCTTTTTTGGGCCTACATAATTATAAGACAGCTTACAGACATGTCTTCTGTTTATTTCTCTAAACGGCTGTTAAAATATCCATCCCGGTTTTCCATGATCTCCGAGTTCTTGTTTGTTTTTCTGTCTTCCTTAAAAAAACTTATTTAGCTTTTCTTTTTCTAAGGGAACGCTGGAAGTTCTTGAGGAAAACCTTTTGAGCTTCTTCAGCGCCGAGCCTCGCTCCGTTTACACGACCATTCTTGGCAGCAGGTAGAAATCCTCTCTCTCTGTCCTGAATATTCACCTCTCCTCAAAAGCCACGGATGAATTTTCCTAAAAACAAAGAGTACGTCGGTAAGTCCGTGAACCATAGACAACCTGCAGCATCGCTTCTTATCGTTTTATCTGCTTTATTAATCCACAAACTGCAGGAGCACGGTTGGATAATTTATAGGGAAAAGGAATATCCCGGGATTGTTTCTTTACGCTAACAAGCCTCCAGATTCCTGGATTGTCTCGTCGGTTTTTGAGAGGACACATCCTCCACCGATGCAGCGGCTCTCTAAATTGCGTTAACACATTTCTGCGTCCCGTTGCTCGTTTGCACGATCGGCCTACGTTCACTAAGGCTGAATCCCCACACTGATGGGCACTGATGGCGGACTTGCCCACCTGGAAAAGCAATTTCTATTGGATTAGATGAAACCTTCATGGAGCTGATAGAGAAGCTGAGTCATTTGTGTAGCGGGGCAAACAAAAGCAGGATGTGAGGAAATGGGAGGTAATTGGTCATAAATAGACACGCCAGATTGACGAGTACAGGTAAAAAGGCTCAAAAGTAAATTGTTGCTCAAATTGATTGTGAATGAGGAAGTCACGGTGCTGTTTGTTGATGTTTGTGAACCAGCTTTGAGAGGCTGCTGCTTCATGCTATCTGCCAGTATATGGACCTGGTCTCTGCAAGTGAGTAGAAATGCTGCAAAACAGAAATGTCCACCTTAAACGCGCCAAAAAGCACGAATAACCATAACGACGAGCATGTTTGTGTTGGGCCTCCAGGCATCGACAACAACGGGTGCCGTCAGACTGAAGTGGCGAACAAACAGGAGGAGTTCCTCCCTCCTGACCTGCTGCTGTCGGCCTACCTGGAGCAGATGAGCTGAGACCAGAACCACGTCATCCAGTCTGTACACGACGCCTGTAGAGTCCATCCAGCTGAAAAAAATGTCTGCTTCTGTTTTCTTTTCGGGTTTTTCTGGAGTCAGTTTTCCATTTGACTCACAAACGGGTAAAAACGGAGAAAAAAAAGTTGTTTTTGTTGGTTTTTCCCCATTTAACAAACCGATTTCCCATCTGATGCTGAGATTAGCTAAACTAGTTAAAACTCACAGCCAGAGGCACACGGATACGTCTCTGTGATGTTTGTGAACGCTCTTTCAGAGCTGGAACTCACAAACAGTAACCATAATTATGAACATTACAAACGGGCTTTTATGAGTGTCGATGCCTCCAGTCAACATTACTACAGTGTAAACTGTGGTTCAAACACGGTTTATAGATTCACTCAAACTGTGAACGCAGCTCTATGTTCCTCGTTAGGGCTGCGTTCACAAACGTCAACTGGAACCATCAGCTCATTCCCTCAGTCGGGTCTCGGGTGTCTAACCCACAGCTGTCACCAGGTGAGAGGCAGGGGACACCCTGGACAGGTCTCCAGTCCATTCCAGGGACACAGAGACACACTCGCATGTAGGGACAGTTTAGAGTCACCAGTTAACCTGGCAGCCATGTTTTTAGTCTGTGGGAGGAAATTGAAGTACCTGAAGAAAACCCACCCATGCATGAGGAGAACATGCTAATAACTCCATGCAGAAAAGCTGCAACCGGGATTTGAACCTGCAACCTTCTGTCTGCGAGGCGACAGCCATCATGCAGCCCTCTGGAAATATTAGAACATTAATTAAAGCACCTGAGCATTTTTGGGGGGGTATTTCTGACTTTAGTCTGTGTATTTTAGATATTTATTCTGATAGTTTAAATTAGGAAATGAGAAGATTTAACTCAAAGGAGGTGGCTTTAGTTAGTATAACATCATGAAAAACACCTTCTTCACCCACCTGAACAACTCTTAACAGATAAGAGCTCATTTAAAAGCTCAAGCACAGAATATCAGTCAAACTAAATGTGTCTTATTGAGCTTTACAGACACGTTATGATGATACGAACAACTTTTTTATACCTTGTTAAAAATGGAAAATTGACTTTTGTGAGATTTTTAGTTTTGTGTTGGATGCATGAAAAGGTGCAGCCACATCACTGCCTGAACACACACCTGTGTGATTTGAGTTGGATGTATGAATATGAATCGTTACCAATGAAACCAGGAATTTCTTTTTATTATTCATGTTTTCGGGAAGTTGTTGTTCAACGGTTCTCTGTATTGTTAGCAGATGGCTTCTGCTTTGGTCTGACTTGTCTTTGATCAGCGTTTAGTTGACATGACGTCTGTAAAGACTCTGCAGAGCCCGTCTGGACACCTGGAGCTGCGGCTGGCGGTTTCACCAAAAACACAAACCAGGTCACACGCAGCGTCGTGTAATTACCTGCACATCTGAATAGCTTTTCTCCATCGGTGGTGTGTGTTTACTCTCGGATAAAGCTGGTAGTGATGTGTAATATTACACTGTGGAGTGTGTAGATGTGTGACACTGACACAAGTGGACCCACATTTAGGAATTTTTCTTGGTTAAAAACAACCTTAAAGTCCTGGAAAGCAAAAAGCTTCAGCCTTATGAACACAGTTTCTGGTTTATCTGTACAGACGTTTCTACATTTATACTTGACCAGATATAAATAGAAAAAACATCTGATTTCTGCATTCTTCAGCAGCGTCACAAAACTTGACTCGCTGGTGCATTTTGTTAACAACCAAAGTTTGTTTGTTTCGTCGATGTCCGGCTTCTCAGGCTTTGATCTGTTCTCTGAATGTTTCTTTTTTTTTACATCTTTTTCTGTGCGCTCTCATGGAACGACCGAGGTGTTCACCCCAGCACCTCGGGGTGCTACAAACCTTTTCTCTACAGGCTGTTGAGGTGCCGATGTTTAATTTGACCTGTGCCATAAAGCCTGGTAGTCTTGAGAGCTTTATTCATTCTACTGAAAAAAATGTGTGTGTGTGTGTGTGTGTGTGTGTATATATGAGGTGCGTATTTATAATCATTACTGGAGCTAATAAATAATTTAAGATGCATGTGCAGTGTCGTTTTATTGCTGAATAAGCTGGAAATGTTTTATTTCCTGGATAGTCATTGCATCTTTCTCCAACCTGCCTTCATATTTAATATCGATTTCAGAAAGTCTGAGCAGAGTGTAGAAATATAAATTACAAGTAAAAACATGAATTTATGAAGAACTGATTTTAAAAAGATAAAATAAGATGCATCAAAGAACATTTCGTGTATTTAAGTGATTTTTTTTTCTGCATAAATTATGTTCAAAAAACCAATACAACAAATTTGGAGAGAAAAAATTCAATTCAATTCAAAAATACTTTATTAATCCCAGAGGGAAATTGATTAACTAATAGAACTAATTGACTACAGAACCATTTTAATGTGTTAAACTCAATTAGAAGATGATAAAACCGCTTTAAAGATTATTTTAATCTGTCAGTTTAGGGATCACCAACCTGGTGCACTCAGGTCTGTTCTAAAAATAGCACAATTCATCGCTCAGCAAAGTATACAATATTATTTTCTGTGGCTATTTTTTAAATCACACTGATTAAAAACATTAATTAAACAGTGAAACTGGGAAGGAGGCGAGGCTTCAGAAGTGAACATTTGTGAGCAGCAGAACAGTTTGATGCTAGGAAAGAGTTCTACAGATGCTACGTTTGTTTCAAGGATGCTAAAGGAGAAGTACAGAGAAGGTTAGAAGCTTATGACGGTGCTGAGAGAGGAGCTGTGGTGCATGAGGTGGTCTGGAGTTAGTGAAGAACATGTATGAGAGCTGAGAGGTGGCAGTGAGGTGTGCTGTAGGAGTTTACAGAGGAGTTCACGGTGGAGGTGAGGAAGCATCAAGGATCCAAGCGGAATGCAGCTCGGATGGTCGCCGAGGCAAAAACCTGGGCGTGGGAGGAGTTCGGTGAGTTTATGGAGCCAGACCTCCATAAAGCTTTGAGGAAATCCTGGTCCACCATCTGGCGCCTCAGGAGGGTAAAGCAGTGTGGTGCCAACACTGTTTATACTGGTGTGCGGCAGTGTGAGCGTCCTGTCAGTGTCCCAATTGATCATGTGCCCTGGCTACTTGGCCAAGGGGATGTCCCTTTGGCTTACTGGTTAGAGCGCATGACTCACCCGGGAGTGATCGAATCCCGCCCAGGCCCTCGTTTCTCCACCTTGCCACACACTGGGGATGGCTGCTGACCCCGACTCGGGACTGTGGATCGGTGGGCGGAGTACTTCGAAGACCTCCTCAATCCCATTGGCACATCTTCCATTGAGGAAGCGGAGTCCAGGGACTTTGAATTGGGCTCTCCAATCTCTGGTGCTGAGGTTGTCATAAAGCTCCTCGGTGGCAAGGTTCTGGGGGTGGATGAGATCCGCCCAGAGTTCCTTAAGGCTTTGTATGTCGTAGGACTGTGTTGGCTGACACGGCTCTGCAATATCTTGTGGACATCGGGTGCAGTTCCACTGGACTGGCAGACTGGGGTGGTGGTTCCCCTATATAAAAAGGGGGACCACAGGGTGTGTTCCAACTACAGGAGGACTGCACTCCTGAGCCTTCCTGGCTCTATTCATGGGTTCTGGAGAGGAGGGTCTAGCAGATTGTGGTACCTCAGTTTCAGGAGGAGCAATGTGGTTTTCGTCCTGGCCCTGGAACACTGAACCAGCTCTATGCCCATAGGGGGGTCCAGGAGGGTGTGGGGGAGTTTGCCCAACCAATCTACATGTGTTTTGTGAATCTGACGAAGGCGTTCGACCATGTCCCTCAGGGGGCCTGTATGAGGTACCAGGCCCTCTTTTTCCTGTATGACCGGTGTCAGAGCTTGGTCCGCATTGCTGGCAATAAGTCAAGCTCATTCCCAGGGAGAGTTGGACTCTGTCAAGTCTTCCCTTTGTCACCGATTCTGTTCATAATTTTTATGGACAGGATTTTTAGGTGCAGCCAAGGTATTGAGGGGATCCTTTTTGGTGGCCTGAGGATCAGGTCTCTGCTTTTTGCAGATGATGTGGTCCTGTTGGCTTCATCGGAACGTGATCTCCGGCTTTTGCTGGAGTGGTTTGCAGCCGAGTGTGAAGCAGCTGGGATGAGAATCAGCTCTTCTAAATCTGTGACCATGGTCTTGAGTCGGAAAAGGGTAGAATGCCTTCTCTAGGTCAGGGATGAGGTCCTGCCCCAAGTGGAGGAGTTGAGGATCTTGCTCACAAGTGAGTGAAAGACGGAAGGTGAAATCGATAGGCGGACTGTTGCTGCATCTGCAGTGATGCGGGCGTTGTACCGGTCTGTCGTGGTGAAGAGACAGCTGAGCCAGAAGGTGAAGCTCTCGATTTACCGGTCGATCTACGTTCCTACCCTCACCTATGGTCACGAGCTTTGGGTAGTGACCGAAAGAACGAGATCCCAAATACAAGCGGCCAAAATGGGTTTTCTCTGCAGGGTGGCTGAGCTCTGCCTTAGAGATAGGGTGAGAAGCTCTGTCATCCGGGAGGGGCTCAGGGTAGATTCGCTGCTCCTCCACATCAAGAGGAGCCAGTTTGAGGTGGCTCAGGCATCTGGTCAGGATCCCTCCTGGATGCCTCCCTGATGAGGTTTTCCTGGCACGTCCAACTGGGAGGAGACCTAAAGGGAGATCCAGGACACGCTGGAGACTATGTCTCTCAGCTGGCCAGGGAATGCCCTGGGATTCCCCCGGAGGAGCTGGCCCAAGTGGCTGGGAAGAAGGAAGTCTGGACCTCTTGACTTAGGCTGCTGACTCCGCAACCCGACTCTGGATAAGCGGGAAAAAATGGATGGATGAACCACATGAACTCTTAAAGGCACGCCTAGTAGTAATTTTAGCTTGCTTTTAGCACCCCCCTAGAGTCTGTTATTAATTGGGTCATAAAAATGAAAGTGAAGCTCATCTCCCAATGCGTTCGTATTTCAACACCTTAATCTAACAGCCGAAACGACTCCCCTGCCTTCCTTCGTGTTTACAGGAGCGGTTCATAACTAAATCAGTAAAATCAGCTGTGCTCACAATCTGAAACATGCAGGAAACTTGTTGGAAGCTCACTCCAGTGCTAGCATGTCAGCTCCACAAACATTAGTGACTGCCCGCTCTAATTACACAACACATTTTGTGTAATTCATGTAACAAGACTGTTAGCACGGGTCATACAGAACTACACACCACACCGGTGCTCCGAGCCGGATTAAATAAATGGACTACACTAGGCAGGCTGCATTTTTAGGCCCCCCCCCCCCCCCCCCCCCTCCATCGATGTTATGTAATGAATTGAAATCTGAAACTTACAAATTTTACTTATAAAAGTTCATTCACATTTTACATTGCCTAGTTTTTGGTTACAAATTGGTTGTTTGTATGCCAAAATAAGTCATGTGTTGTAGGCTGTTGCCTCTGCTGAATCAGAAATTCTGTCAATTTTCTGAGTGTGAACTTATTGTTTTGCTATTTGAACATTAATAAAATTATTTGACAAATAATTTATAAAACCAGCAATACTTACCAAGGAAACCATTTAGCATTATCTACTCTGGGATAATCTTCAGCCTTCCAGCATCACATGCCTCAATCACAGCAGAAACACGTCTAAAGAAGTGTTCCTTGGTTAAGCTTCAGTCTATGTCTCCAGATTTCCTCTGTGATGCAGAAGAATATCCAATATTTTGAGAGGGATAGTTTAGTGCAAAGTACTCATCAGTTTGGTACCACTTTGCAGGATCAGATGGGTAGCTAGTTGTTAATACCCTGTCTGGGTCTAGAGCAGGGGTGTCAAAGATGCGGCCCGCGGGCCGAATCCGGCCCGCAAGCGGGTTTAATCCGGCCCGCGAGACGGTTGTGTAAACTTTATTTTCATACTTTACAATGTAGAGTGAAAATAAACTTATCTTTGTGAGCAAGTTTTCTCTGTAATGAGTATGAATAAAACAAAGCTGCGCTCAAGGCTCACACAAGAACTTGAATCACATCCTGAAGTTGGCCGCCACTCAGGATGTGACTTCTGATGTTGATGTGCTGGTGAAAGCTAAAAGATGTAAAGTAAAATGAGTCAAATATACTTTAAGTGCTGCATGAAACGGATCTTGCCATGTGATCTGTAAGCTCTTTGAATCACTAAGGAATGTTTTTTTATTTATTGATTTTTTTTTTTTTTTTCAAATTTTCAAGTACACTTCAGGTGTTGTACTTGTACTACACTGTCCTCAGGCTCCAGCCTTGTTTTATATTGATTGAATTAAAGCAAAAATAACAATCTCAAGTTTTTTTTTTTTTCATTTACTGGTCCGGCCCACCTGGGACTAGATTTCCCTCAATGTGGCCCCTGAGCTAAAATGAGTTTGACACCCCTGGTTTAGAGGAATTTAGATTTTTATGATGATTTATGACAAAATTCCTTAAAATGAATAACTGAACCTAGTTTATCTTTATGTAGATGGTAAAGTGTAGTGAAACAGCGTTAGTGTCAGTCGGCATAAGCAGCAGAGCCCTGCAGGGAATCGAACCCCGTCTCATTACTGAGAGTTCCGTTACCAGAGCCTTTTGCTTTGGGCGACCGGAGACGGTAAAGCAAAACCTGCATCAACACAGCATTTAATGTTGGAACATAAATTCTGTCTTGAAGCAGGAAAAAAGAAACCGTCAGAATAAATAATTATTTCCAATTAAATTAATTTTAATATTTTATAAACGTTTTACAGATTTAGAGCCTCCTTTGACTTTTATGCTTTTCGTTAACTTCTCGTTCTTTTACGATGATTATCCGTTCTTTAGTCGCGGTCAAACGCATCGTAACTTTGTTCTGCGGTGAATCTTAAAGTTATGTTGAATGTAAATAATCTGAGTCTTTATTGCTTTAATTTAACAGCACAGTAACTTGTTAAAATATTCAAGTTAATTTGAATCATTTACATGTTTGGACTATATTTTATTAGCCTTTAATATTTTAGTATTTATTGTTTAACTTTTGTAAAGAGCTATTTTTAAACGCGTGCACATTTAAACACTAAAACCTTTGTTTGCTC